TATTTGTTTTAGCTATTGCACAAGCTTTCTGTATTCCAGAAGAGACTGGGATATATTTGGTTTCAGTAGATATACAGTATCTATTTTTCTTTCTCCTCACCCAAGAATGCTCTAATTGAAGTAATTCTTTACTCTCCTTGGTCCAGAAAATCTTCTATTTTCATCATAGCCTAGCACTACAGACACAGTTAACACAATCCAGTTGGTCTACTAGAGGGCCAGCTAACCTGTTTGTCATGATAATTTCTTCTATAATGGAGAGTTCTGGTCAGGTACCAGAATCCTCACAGTGGCTGAAATTTAGCAGTCTCATGAGATTTACCCTAGCATGAGAAGGTAAATCCCAATTGCAAGCACTTAGAAAAATGAGAAGTGAGATGCCCTCATGCCACAAAGTGATGATCCAAGATAGAATCATGATGTCCATTTTAACATCTTCACGTGACTGATTTCTTACTATTTTTTGTGTTATACCTCCATGCTCTTTGAATGACCTTGACATATAGTCCTTCTCAGCAATTTTTCTCCCTTTTCTTCCCCTCTCATTCCTATTGTAATGATCATGGTTTCTATATGTGGCTATACCTTGCTGCTGACTCAGCTTTCAGTATTTTCCCTTTCAGTTGGGCATTCACAAACTTCAGAGTACGTCTCAGACCTCTGCCTTTAGCCTTATCTTACCTGCAGCGTCCTGCAACTTGAATGAGAAACTACGATAATCCCCCTTCATCCCAGCTACAGCTAGTTATAAAAGCAAATTCAGTCACTTCAGATACGACCTTGTGGAGCTAATTCTGACTTTGCTTCTATACATATTAATCTAAGTAAAGGTAGAGGATAAGAGTGGGAATCTGTGCTCTGGTGAGCCCTAATGGAAGTGTGTGACATAGTCAGAACTCCCACATCATTTTCAGTGCTGGACTTCAGTGTGGATAACAGAAGAGCAGTGAGGGATCTGCTGAAATTTCCAAGAAAGCCAAAGATCGTAGCTGGTGTTTGGCTTAGTGATGAAGATCTTATCCATGTCCCAAAGGAGGATGCACATGGAGGCTTTCATCATGAGCTAGAGTTTCTGTTGGAGTAGGGCTTCAAAGGGGCTGTCCAAGGAAAGGATTTGTTGCTAAGCAGCGTTTTGTCTAGCCCATGACTGGGTGGCTCTGGCTAAGGCTCAGCATACACCATGGTTTAGACTAGGAGTTAGTGTGTTTGGGACTTAGGAGAGACCAAGCATAAAATTCCAGGGTAAGATGGGAGCTGGGGGCTGTAAGAGGGCTCCCCAAGGAATATTAGGCTGACAAAAAATGTTTCCCTCTGAGTTTTTTCATTTGGACTGTGGCTGGGAGTCCTTTTGTTTAACTCTGGGTGTTGGATAGTTAATTTCATGAGAGAAACAGATCCTGTAGTTCCCAGAGTAGTTGAGATCCTCTGTTAAATCTTCAGTCTCTACCTCAAGTGAGTGCATCGCACTGATGACAGTGACATCCATCAGTGATTGGAAGGGGATGTTACATTAATGGGAGGGAACAGAATGCAAGGGAAGAAAGCTCATTTTGCATACTCATTTTTAGATGGGGATATTCATGTTTTTTGCTTTTCCACTGGGGTTTCATTTTCTAGGCATGTTGCCAAACACTGGAAACTTTGCCAGTGGTATAGAATTGCAGAACTTTTCCTCTCTATCTTTCTTTGCTTTAGTGATTCTGCCCGAGGCTATGCAGCATACAATACCCTTGGCCCCCGTTACTGTTCCTCTCTTCTACCTTCTAGATTAAAACTTCCTTCCATATCTTCCTGCTATAGGAAAAAAAGTACAGAAATAGAACTATTTTTATTTTACCTGATTTTTATGTAGCAGAGCACAGGGAGACAAAAAGCAGAGCCAGGTAAGTGGGGTTTTGACACTTAAAGATCAGAAGCACACTGCAACCTGGAGGACAGAGAACTTCTGAGCAAAGGCAGTGGTGGAGCCAAGTGACACCATCAACTTCTGTTGAGTTCATGACTCTGTTTTGATTCAAGCTGGACTGCATGGGGAGGCAGGGGTGAACAGAGGTGATATTTCTTAAAAAAATTGCCCTTCAAGAATAACCACCAGCGTTCACATTGATGAAGCTATAACCTTTCCTTTGCTGGAAGAAAAGGGTCATAGAATAGGAGTAATGATACTGTCATGTCAGGGAATATCCCATGACAAAGCCTGCTATGACACATGCGTCCATCGGCTGTTGATCCTGTGGTCAAAAACCTGCCAGTGGGACTGATGATGGATAGGCATGGGATCACTACACTCTGAATGACCTCAATGAACCACACTGGTACTCTGGTATTGGGTATCATCTGCACCATGTAAGACTGTTTATTATAGACCTGTATGAAAGTGATCTTTGCTGTCCCCAAAATCCTCTTATATAAGGTGGCCAGAATTGACCTGGAATTAGCATGGAATTTTTAATGAAGGGGTTCCTGAGAGGTATGAATGATGGTGGAAACAAGGAATTTTGAGGAAGCTGCTTAGAAACAATCCCCAAAAAGCAGATCTGTCATCTTACACTGAAAAGGGAGAAAGAATGGGGTGTTGGACGCTGTTCTGGCCAAGAAAACAAGTTCCTGACGGAAGAGCACTACTACTGTACTAACCAGACAGCTCCTGCTAGAAATGGAAACTTACGCTGAAGTCTGAATGTACTCATCTGTGCCATACCTGGTAATCTGCTAAACCTGCATTGATAATTGTGATCCAAGTGATCTGGCTGTGAGCTGAAGCTCAGAGTGAAACTGTGTATGAATTGCTAATGCAACCTTCTCCTGACCTGTCTGGGGCCAATACGGCTCACTGAAGTCAGAGAAAGTGCTAGTTAAGTAACTTGTGCAATGGATGGCGCTTGATGTTTTAGTCCTGTTTTTCCAAGTGCTCTGTTTCAAAACCTCCATCTAACTTTGAGCTATAAAAACCAAATAGATTTACTAAGAATTGGGTGTTGTTTTGGTTTGACCTTCCTATCCCACAGAACAATGTCTCATGGTGAGCAATTACCTTGATTCATTATTACTCTTTAGAGTACTTTTTCTTCTAAAATACACACTTTCGGATGAAGTAAAATATTAAGACTTTTGAAGCGTAAATTCAATCCCTGGAAATTGAAATAAGCCCTTCACGCTTTATAAAAGGAATTTAAACTTCCATTTATAATGGAAATGGTACTGTAAAATCAGATGTGCTTTTGTTAAAAAAAGTGAAGAACAGATTAAATTATTTGCTTTGAGGTTAAGGGTCTATTTTTTCACAACCAGTATTGCTTTTGGTACTGCATGATTATTATTGCAAACTCAATGACTTTGAACTAAGAATCCTGTACTCAAATGCTATTAAAAGTAATATGGTTTATTAGTTTTCAGATGTTATTCTCAGAGCAGTTGTATTTAGAAATTTCAGAAACGTTCTTTTTCAGTTTTTAGGGTAGACCAATTTTCTTTGGGACTTGAATAGAGTTGAACTTGTACTCTGTCCTCTCATTCCTTTGATTGGAACCTCATACAAGGATTTGGACACTTATTGATTACTTAGTTTTCTACAGTCTAATTAATGAAGCAATTTAATTAATTAGTTGAATTAATTAGCATGTTTAACTAATTAAAATTATTACTAACAAATTCCACCTTTTTAATGAGATTCCTTTCCTTACCAAATATTTATTAAGACCTATTTTATCTAAATCATCTTCAAGTCAGAGGATAGGAATACAATCCAAAATCTCTGGGTTTCATTTTCTTTTGTTAATAAAGCATATTCAGTGTAGGTCAGCACCATCTGTATTTGCCTCTTTTTATTTCCTCTTTATTCATACAAAACCATTCTTCATTCCTCGTGCCTGCTCGGCCGAGGTGTCACCCAAAGTGTTCTCATTTATTTCCTCCATTCCTCCTGGTGATTTCAAGCTTTACAGATACTAAAGCAGTTTGTTGATGACTCCTACTGTACTTTCGCCTCATAATTGACAGATCAAGTAGTTAGCTGAATAAGCAACTTACTTGTGGTGCAATAGCGCAATTGATTTATCTTAAAAGTTTGCATAATAGGTTTAGCTATGATTAATTTAAAAGGAGTTCTCCTATGATGATATGGCATGTTTTTGAAAATAATTTATCACCATTTGCTTCAGATAAGAGGTGGAGCTAATCTTGGAAAGAGCTTCGTATGTTTGTTGGGTGGAAGCTGAATGCCGCCCCAGCTGAAAATGCTGACTCATCTCAGTTTTATTTCCATTTAATTTACACTCAGCACAAAGCTAGATAGCACCCTCAGAGGGGCAAACTAAAACTATTGCTTAAACAAGTCGTTGTAAAGTATAGGGTTTAGTGAGAGAGGAAAAATACATTTTAGAAGGTGTAGATAGAAGTAGATTATTACAGCACAGGCATGTTGAGATGTTTGCAGGGATTTGAGGGACATCTTGGTTTTGTTTGTCTGACAGCAGCAGAGCTGAAAAATTGCCAGTAACTCATTTGAGATACCGACAAGGCAGTGGAATGGGGAAGGCTGCGGAGTGGTTTTTGTCTTGGAACCTAAGAGCCCTTCTGCAGTTTCGGGGATCTCTCACTTTTAAGGTGTTGAGGTGTTAGCACATACCTGCACCTCTGCATAGTTCAAGTGGCAACAAAGGATTTGGCATCAATTTCTACCACAGCAGCCTTGGCAAAATTTCTTGGTGAATTTTTCCGGGGACAAGGCCAGTCTGTCACTTCTGAATTCTTGTTCCCTAGAAATCAGTAGGACTTCCCGTCAGCAGTAAAATCCAGATTTCACTCAAATGTGTAAGCAATATTTTCTAGCAATAAATTTGTTGTGTAGTTCTTGTTGGCTTTTTTCCCCCAAACTATTGGAATTTAATTAGCATAGCACAGATTATCTTTTAGTAAATATGCAGCATGTTTATAAAAGCTAAATTGTCTTCCTGGTATGTTTTGCTGACTGGTAAAATTAATGTTTTTTATTTGTTCAGATGGTATTTTGGCCCACTCAAACGAGCAGATGCCGAAAGACAACTGTCATACCCTGGAAACAAAGCAGGAGCCTTCCTAATTCGAGAAAGTGAAAGTCTAAAAGGCGAATACTCACTTTCAGGTATAGTCTTGTTTTTCGTCTCAAGCAATGTTTTAAAAATTTCTCAGGTGATCCAGACTTTTTCATTTTTGAGAACAATAAAATGTAGTCATGAAAATGAAATTAAGTTCATGATAATATTTCTTTCCCAGGAGATATATAAAGAAAACTTGGCAAGACTCACTTGGGTTTTTACTAACATTTATTTCATAGGCTTTGTTTATTAATATGCTCAGAAGAGAAATTAACTTTCTTATGCTCAGTACTTCTAGCGTTCCAGCTGTCTTAAAATAGAAACTATTTTCATTATTAAAATGCCAAAAAATACATTACAGTTGTACACTACTGTTCAGATTGTTACACAAAATAAAAATTAAACCATGTTGGCAGATATCTGCAGTTTAAGAAAATTAGATTTCTGCTAGAGCACACCCTTAGGTTTATATTTATTTGTTTTCAGGGGCAAAATGATAGGAAGATTGTCAAAGCTCTAACTTAGAATCAGACATACTTCATTGAAAAGTTAGTTGTAAACATCAGTAAAAACTTAGATTTATGATAATGATGGGTTTTGAAATGTAATCCTTTATTTGAAGACTATAGAGGAAGGACAGTTACTTGATAGTAATTTTGCTTACTCACATATATGTACATCTTTTTAATGTCAGAGATATTTGCCATGTTAGATAATAAAAATGATTGTTCATTGTTTTTTTTCTGTGACCGTTTTCTATCAAACTTGTCATGAAAGTGTGAGTCAGGAGTATAATGTTGTCCCTGAGACAACAGGGTTTTACACCCAAACTTCCTAATGTGTTCCACCTTTACAGTTCCATACGCCAGTAAAGACTCTTGATGTTTGTGAATAAACGGTAAGTTGTCACGTGCAGAATTACGTCAGTAAAATGAGAGGTGTCTTGTGCATAACCAGATTCTTTCATATTGGCTCCTCTTCTGCCTGGATGGTTATGTGTCAGTCATCTTCTGAGCAGTACACAGAAACACGTTAAGCAGCTTAATGAACTTTTGACACATTCTTGGTTTCTTTTTCCAAATCATAAAGGGTATATACCTGCAACGTCTTGTGGTAATGGGAAGGTTGCTTTTTATTGCCAAAACAAAGAGATATGTGTTGCCTGTGGACTGAAATACAGGGAAGTTTATGAAATAAATAGGATATTTACTGTTCTGGGAGAGTTCATTCCATAGTCTTTAGTTTGCCCTCAAGGAAGTTTGTTCTTGCCAAGAAGCTCTCATAAGAAAAATAACATCAGCAAGAAATCAGACTGCTCCCAAACTGTGACTGAACTGACCCCTCTGCGCTCGCACTTTTATCCAAAGACTGTATTATGGCTGCAAACCTTTCAAAATGCTTCCCCTCTATATGCCAACTTCAGCTTCCTTCAAGGGTTCTTCATCAGTGAACTGATTTCATCCAAGGACTGGGCGAGACCGATAGCAGCGTGGTGTGATGCCGGGAAGGATAGATAGGCCTGTGTTATCTGCTTACTGCTGGCACTTGAATACACAACACCTTACTAAAAATCAATGAAAAATCTTGTGTTGTGCACCTAGGGGTGGAAATGCAATTTCTTTTCTCCATCTGTAGCCTTCTAGGAAAGATTCAAAATCTTAATTCTTCACCCTCCGTCCTTAATACTCCTCTATCAGGAAGGCAGCATTACCTTAGTTAACCTATGAGGTGCCACAGAGAAAAATCCAAGAGAATGGAAATAAATATTAGGCCAGCATTTGTGGTAGGATGAAATTTGATATTGTTCTTTACTTTTTTTGCTTAGAAATCATGGATAGAAACTATATTCTGTCTGATTTACTATATTTGATTCAATTACAAAAGCTTGTGGTAGACATTTTTCAGGTTTCCTTACAAGCTTAGGGGATTTGATGATGACTGATAACAGCAAGACACAAAATCATCGGTGTGGATTTCTTCCATGCTGGTTTGTTTGATGAAGGAAGGGAAGAGTGGTGCTGAAGAGCACAATATACACAAAGGCAGGCTCCAGCTACAGGAGCCAGCTCTCCTTCATGCACAAACATGGGTTGTTCTCTGAGCATGCATATGTGTGTCATCTCAGATTTATTAAACATTTGTGCTTTTTTAGGAAAAGAAAGAGAATAAACTCTGAAGCAGTCTGTAGACAGTGAGTATTAATGGCATCATTTACCACTGCATCTATATCTTTTAGAAGCTTCCCAAACTTGAACCTAATTTAGCCTCAACATTCTACTTCATCCTGAAGAGCTAAATATTATTTGCTGTTTACTGAATAGGCTTGACTAAATGGTTTCTGTTTGTGTTGTGCAAGTTTTTTTTGCTTCCAATCTAATAGTATAGGACATAGTGGTCCAGACATTGTATGTCCATAATCTCATTACTTATGTCTACTTTTGGGAGAGCTAGTGCAGTCTAAAGCAAATGATGAACTGGATTGTACTGTGGGGAGAATTAATTGGAAGGAAGGTTGTTTAGTCCACCAGATGCTATGGAGAAGGCAGTTTTTTTGACTCCTCTTTGTTCCATCAGAAGGAATTATGAACCACTAAAAACTGAGGCAGAAAAGCAGTGTTTTCTTGAGGAATAGTGGTTCAGGAGCATTTCTTTTAACAGCTCTTGGATGGCTTCTTTCTCTCCATGGTAGCTGATACACTGATAGGGGAGAAGTGAAAACATAATATTTTGGAATATATCCCTAATTTGTGTTTCTAATTTTTTCAGTGCAGAAAGAATAGACCCCTGAACTCCCTTCCTCTGTAGAACTGGTTGGGTTTGCTCTACGTGCTTTTCTGGTTTGGTTTCACTCCAGGGTAGATGATAATAACTAGAAGAATGACAACCTGGCTTTCAGAATTAAGGTCTTTAAGAAAATACTGTATCTGTCTGTCCAGCCAAACATTTAAGTATAATAAAATTAAAAAGGAAAAGAAGTAGAAAAGGAAGAGAGATTTTTACCCAAGCACCCATAAACTGGTTTTATGACTTCCATGCTTGTTTTCATACTCATAGGCAATCTATAAGAGAGTTAATGTTAATGAGGGAGACAAATGGATGTCCTTAGGAGAAAAAAAAAAAAAAGAAAAAGAAATGAACCGTACCTTTCATTAAAATGGCACTTTTCACTTCTAACTTACTTTGATGAGAAAACTCACAATTTGTAAAATTTACATGATAAATGACTATTTAAATTAAAAACAAGAAGTCATATTCAGCAAGGTTTTTCTCGACTGTGAATGGTTAAATGGAAAGCACATCAAACTAGATAGGCCACTGAGATGTGTTGCTATAATTTTAAAGTGTTTGACATTTTAAAAATAGGTTTTCCCATTTTAAAAATGCACATGTTGTCGACAGATTTTTATGTTGATGACTCCAGCATCTGGTGTGAAATGTATTAAATTTTAGACATGTTGGTGCCATCTTAGACATTGCCTCTTTTTAATTAAAAGCCATAATTTAGATGTGCTCAGCTTAATTGAGTGTCATTGCCAATGATAGCAGGAGGCTCTATACTTCCCCCCTCACTGAATAATGGCATCTGAAAGACTGATTGCATTAAATGACAATGTAAATGGTTTGTGTTTTCCTCCATTTTTTTCCCTGCTCCTAAAAAAAGATTGTGTGGTTTCCTCTAGGCCAGATTGGCTTTCAGCATAGGAAGGAAAAGGTAATAGTTTAAGGCAGCAGGCTGGTAGGAGTGGCAAAAAGATGGCCGTAGCAGGAGAACAATTTTGAAGCAGCCCCTGCTCCCGTTCTGTGCTGGTGAGGGTGACCTCATAACCCATCCTCCTCCCACATCCACCCTGGGCATGGAGACCAGGCACAGCTCCTGCCAGCAGCGCTGCACGGTCCCTGCTGGGGAAGGACTGCTGATAGGAGAGATGTTGGGACACTGATGGTAACGGTGCCTTCCTGTCTCCACGACTCATTTGGTGAAGATGTTGATGCCACCATAAAATTGAGTTTTGCTGCCTTGAGAAAGGACTAGTAAATTGTTTTGTTCTCATTATTGGGGTGGTGAAATGTACTCCTGCATGGCCCAGCCTTAGGAAGATGGGAAACAGGGAGAGGGGAATGCTTCTGTTAAAGTGAAGCCGTGCAGAAATCTAATGGGGAGCAGTGATTCTTTTGGGAAGGGAAAGTTGATGAGAAAAACATTGCAGTCTTTACCCCTAGTTGCTGTCAAACTGTGTGAAGCTGAAGTTGCAACCCTGTCCTGTTCCATGGTCTGGTGTGGATGTAGGGATGGCTGCAAGCACCGAGGGGGTTACGCGTGGCTCTTCCCTGAGTGACACGTGCTCTGTGTCTTGTTGGGCAGAGGAGCTGTGTGATGCTGCAGCTCTGTGAGCGTGCGGTGCGGGACTCCTACAGCCAGACTCAGCCCTGGGGTACGAGTAAACAGTCCCCTGTCAAATGCTGCCCTAAACCTCAGCTGTTTAGCACAAGCAAAGACAGTATCAGTGCGGAAATTGGGTCCAGATTCATCATAAGCCAATCACAAGGCTTCATGCAAGATTCATTTAAGAATTTATAGCACATCCTTCAAACCAACTCTCACATTATCATTAGCTGCTTCACAAGTAATAATTATAATGCTGCTAATAAAGACAGCAAGTAATGAAACTACTATCACTTGTGATATACTGGTGAGACTGGATTAACACAGGCATCCTTTTGGCCTTTTATTCATCATAAATAGCAATTCATTTGGCCAGAAGCATTTTACTGTGAGCTTTGGAAAAGTCACTATATTTCCAGTCTGTTGTTACTGAATTACTCTTTCCCTCATTTTGCTTTAGCCACATTTCCAAATGGTACATCAAAAAAATCGATATGCATTTTGTAATTAAAAAATACTAATTAAGAGGTGTTAAATTAAAAAGAAATGGCATTTGAAAAGCGTGATGTAATTATCTCTATATTATGGAGTTATATTTACAAATATTCTTGTTTCTGGTCCTCATGCAGAGTTTTAGGTTGGTAAATCAGGTCTCTTGAAATATCACCTGTGTCAGAGAGAAAATCCCCTGCTGTTTTCACTGGCTCCTGTGTGCCCTCTGGTGGTCTGGAATGACAATTGCACAGTAGAGCAGAAAGCTATTTGATCATACCTGACAGTACTTAAGGAACGAGAGATTTTTCTTTTTAACTTAATTCATTAAATAGTAAGAGAAACGATACTTAACATCAGCTTTGTTAATTGCACAAAACCCATAATTTTCTATATTTTTTTCTACATGCAATATATAGCTGTATATTCTTCTGTTAGTATAACCAAAGCAATTACCAAAAATCATGCAGTGCTACAATATCAAGGATCTATCAGCTATAATATCTCCAGGGAAGAGAAATAATATTTTTTTAGATAATTAGATTTTTTGAATGTAACAGACTGAGGCTGCTTCAAGGACTGAAAAATAGTTCCATTAATTTATTGAACTAAGAGTAGCCACAAGTCAACATGACTAAGTTGAATGTGTTTGCTGGAACTAAAAGGCATACTGGAGGTAAACAGCAGAAAGCCTTTCCCCTATGCCTCTGTTTGGCTTTTTGGACTTCCATCTTGCGTGAGGGGCCTGAGAAGTGCACAGTCATGGTAATTTCCCGGATTGATGGTTGTGGAAGGAATCACTTGGCCTATTGGAAAGGTGTAATGTTGGGTGATGACCTTGATGGCAACCAGAGCATCAGCCTCCCCTTGAGAGGTCTCTCCTCGCACATCATTGACAATCACTGTATATTTTCATTAACTGCAGGGTGGGCTAGCCCTCTGGTAGAAACTAAATCAGTTACCCCTCGGTATATAACATAGTCTCTCCATTGTCCATTGGAAATGGACAGCGATGCCTCAGTCATGGAGTATCATGCTAAATGACACCCCATGAGACACTACCAGCTGGTTTTGGTGCCTTAAAAGATTGAAAATATGAGCTGCCTCACAGAAGATATCTTCATGTATTTTTGTGTCAGCTCTTATGATGCAAGCAAGAATCTCAGAACCTGAATGGTTGAAGACCAATAGACTAGATAAGTTAAAATGTCTAAACAGTGGGCTTTGGTTTAAAAGAGATTTTGTAGAGTTTTTGTCTTTGAAACTATAATAATTTATTTTAAAGTCCTCATAAATACATTTAGGAAAATTATGATGGTTTGGCTGTAAGTTATGTTGTGCCATTGCTATAATTCCTGGAAACTTAATATATTTAAATCTTCTCAGTTTTTGATGGTGTATCTGTGAAGCACTACAGGATCAGAAAGCAGGATGAAAGAGGCTTTTACCTAACCATACGGAAAACTTTCAAAACTCTGCATGAATTTGTTGACTATTACAGTAAGAACAGTGATGGCCTCTGCATGGTGCTTGGAAAGCCATGTATAAAGGTAAGAGTGGATGCTACATTATGCAACGTATTTTTTTTCTAAGCTAACTCAGAAATCAGTCAGCCGGTGTTAACCCCGTATCTGCTTCTGCCATTTAAAAATGTTGATGATCTACTTATTCTCAGGAAGTTCTGGTTAGTGCTACAGTTTCATTCTTGAAGTTGACATGTTAATAATAAAATACTGTGCCATTTTGAACAAATCATCATGTGGCTGGAGGAGAAAATATGCCAAATCATGATTTATGAATTCTTTTCTATAAATGTGTATGGAGGTGAAATCTCCAACTTCATAACTCTAGCTGTCCATAAGTAATTACTGAGACAATACTACAAGGTTCAGGCAAGCAATGCGTCACTTTTCAAAAAGCTTGCTAGAGGCATGTTTCCGAATTTTTACTTTTAATGGCAGGATAGTTTCTTTAGAGAATTTCTTATTTCTAAGAAAAAGTACCCAGGGTGTGGGCTCAGATTACTTTATCATGTGCATGTACTCCAAGGAAGCATTACTTATATCAGTTGTGACTTTACATGACATAGTTAAAAATGACTTGCATATACTGTTGAAAAAATATCAGAAGTTTCAATTACTATGTTATTTATTTTCTTTTACCAGGTACAAATTCCTAGTACTTTCGATTTGTCATATAAAACGGTGGATAAGTGGGAGATAGACCGGAAATCTCTGAAAATGGTAAAAAAATTAGGATCTGGTCAGTTTGGTGAGGTATGGGAAGGACTGTGGAATAACACCACCCCTGTGGCAATCAAAACATTAAAACCAGGTATGTGAATTACTCTTAAATGCTCATAATATGAAATGTTAGCAAGGGTGCTCCTTTACTTTTTAAATGCTACTGAGAAGAAAGCCTGTCCATGTATAAAATCATTCTTAAAATCCATGCACTTAAACATGAAAATTGCTAAAGCTCGAGATCCAGGTATTCTTTGGTATTTTGAATTACAATTTTATACAGTTTTCTGTTTCTGTTATGAGCTGAACTCATTCACCATCTGTATTACATAAAAAGGCAACCCCAACAAGGGGTTTGGTACAATATTGCATGTATGGAATTGAATGACTACATTTTGTCTGTAGGTGAAGTAATCAATTTACTACTGGTTTGTCATCTGTAGAATTTATTCTAGCGATTAGATGCTAATCATAATGATTCTTTGGTAATATAGAACATATATGATGTTAAGTTTGTATTTAAGAAGTGCTTAATCTTAATATTGATTGAATACAATTTCTTTGAATAATAATTTGAATAATAATTTCTTTGAATAATGAATAAAACAGCTTTTAAGATTTTTCTTAATTATTTTTCATTAACTTCAAGTAATTTGTGCATTTTAAGTTGACAACATAAAATATCTGCCAGCAGTTGGCAAGAACCACATAGATAAGAAAGGTATATGGGGTGATAGACATGTTTTTTAAAAACTGATAAGAGTACAATAAGTTGTTGTTAATTGAAAAAGCTTCTGCTGGACAGTAATGATCATGTTTCAGGAAGCAGAACAGATTCAGATCTTTGATTCTGAAGAACAATTAAATATACTTGAGCCCTGCTTGAATGGTCTCCTGAACACAGAGTAATTTAAGCATGTGTTTGAGTGCTATCTTGTATCAGGATATTGTTTGTGTTTTGGAACTTGCAGATTGAAAGCAAATAAGCACCTTTTTTTTTTTTTTTTTTTCTGCTTAACTGACATTAGAAAAACTGCTCAGACTAAAGGCCTTTTATAATTCATGTGAAGACAGCATACTGTTTTTTCAGTGAACTGGTACATCTCCCTAGTGGCCCAGTAAACTCAGAAATCATCTTCAAATCTCTCCGTCCATTTCTCTTTCCTAAGACAGTATCCACTAAGCCTATACCTTTTGTGACAGGGATCCATGTGCTTATTATTATTGACTTCTGAAACTACAGGCCTCAAACCAGTGTTTTTCTCCTGATGCCTGACCTGAATCATTCTGCAGTACAAGCCCATTACTTCTTGTCTTATACTAAAGAATACCTATTATTTTCTTCCTTGTTACAGCAGTGTTGTACGTACTAGAAAACTTTTATCAAGTTCCTCTTCGGTCTTATCTTCCTTAGGTTTAACAGCTCAACTGGGTTCTTCATGTAGCTCTCATGTTTTAGATGTCCCATTGTTTTCAGGAGATCTTTACTGGGCTGTTTGAAGTGGTAACCATACTTTTTTCCAAGTATGATGCTAACAGGAAGAAAAAGTCTAGATGTTTAAAGACAGGGATTTGCTTCATGTTTCTGACGTGTTTGCTAGTCCTTTGTGCAAACAGTCCGATGTGATGCATGCCTTTCTTCTCCATGTGACAATTTAGCTCTTCCTTCTGTGCAATGGGGACAGTACATATTATCCGTTCTATCTGAAACAAATTCCTATTTTAATAATGGATTCAGTTAAAACTGACAAGACTATCCAGAAATAGATGAAATACTAGTGGCAAATTCCAGCAACAATTTACCTTCTTTCCTTTCCCTTTTCCCTTTTCCCTTTTCCCTTTTCCCTTTTTTCTTTCCTTTTTCTTTTCAATGCTGATCAGCTGAACAACTGCTACTATTACTCTGCCTGAAGAAAAGGAAGGGTTAGTTAATTTTATATCTGAAACAGATTTTAATGTGTTTAAGGCCAAGCTGATCTGTAGAGATCCCTTCTTTGACTGTTCAATTCATTATCCTTTCCATATCTTGCTGATAAAGCACATGGAGAACACAGTACTTCTAGTGCGACATGAGCAGGAAAAGAAGGTGGTTTTTTTTTGTTTCTATAATAATAGAGTGTCCTGAGAATGCACTTAAAGAAGACCATAAATAAAAAAAAAAATCACATAAATTTTTCAGTTAGCTAAAAATTAAATTTTACACTGGAATAAATGTACTATTTACATACAAACTAGCACAGTGCAGAGGCGGAAGCCACTTCAACTGTGATACTTTTTGTAGTATCATAGTTCTCCTGGGAAAAAGGCCTTGATTAATCAATACTTTTTCCATCTTTGTTTTTTTTTTCATTCTAGTCTGCCTCATATTAAGGTCAACAGTAGTAGTCTCATTGATTTCACAGTGGGTTATATTGAGTTAGGGCAGTCACAAGCCCCACCAAGGATGCAATGACTGAATACTGGAGAGTGTGATCTAATACTGTGATAGAGAAGTCGTGCATTGCACTTTGTGATGCTCAGGATGAAGACTTTGATTCTCAAAGCCATCTTTATACATTGTATAGGAAGTACTGGACCTCTTATCACTGTACTCTGTGAACTAACTTGTTCTACAAAAACAGTTCAAACAGTCTCAAATGGAAGCATTTAACCTTCTAGCATACCTCTCTAGGGAATTACCCTCTTCTACACAATGCTCTTCACTACTTGGAGTGCCTTGCTGTAATCAGTTAGCACATTGGTTTTCCATAGCTTGTTCTCATCATTACTCACAAGGAATAACATTTCAATAATTAAAGAAAAAACCCCAATGCCCTCACCCTAATCTGAATAATAAATTCTTAGCTTGGTACTAATAAAATTTTAGTGAAGTCTACATCTGGTAATTTTATTCATCGTAATATAAAGATGATAAGTGAATGGAAAACATAGTAGTTCATGAGTAATCAAGAAATGAATCATGTTAGATGTTGATGATTGAAGGTTCCAATATTCACATAGACAATATTTCAGGCTCGAAGTGTGACACACTGCAAAATGATCGTCTCCTGTTGCTTGGCTTGAAGGTCTAAATCAGTTGTATTTACATTGTGGAAGGGGGAAATATTTTAAAGCAAAGTCTTTTTGCTAAGCTACTTTACAGTGTAGGCTCACCGGAGAAGAAAGTCATCAGAGCAACAGAGGAGTGTGATAAACTGTAAGTGATCTGGCAAATATAGGGGATTGAGATAGAGAGGGTTCTGTTAAAATGGCTTTACCACCAGAGAAATTGTGGAACCATGCTCCCATTTTCAAGCAGAAGCAGATTAATGAAGTAAGGTAATCACACAGCAAACAATATAGAAGAGCATAATGCAATCAGAACAGTGTAGATTTATAGGTCTGAAGGCCAGAAGGGATTTCTGGTAGTTGAGTTTTTCCATTGAGTGTTATTTTGCAGTGTAAATCTGTCCTAGTTCATGAATACTTTGCTGTTATATGCCATTACATTTCACTTCTCTGCTGAGACATAGTATTTATATTTAATCAAAACACAGCTTGTTCTTGACTAGATAATAACTAGAAGTCTTCTTGTCCTGAGATGGAGGCACGGAGAGAAGTTGCCTTTGCTGTCTTTGACAGTTTGTATCAGTGCTATATCAGCACACCTATAAGAACGTGGGCCTAATTTCTCATCTGGATTTACCTGATGTCTTCTCTTTAACCCTTGTTATGTCTTCTTGTAATAAAATAAAAGCCTTCTTGTATACATTATGTTTTCTTTCCATTCTGGAGTATATGCAGAGCAAATTAAACCAATTTTCAATTGTCTTTAGAAAGGCTAAATGTAGCTTCTTGTTATATGGTGCTCTCCCCATTTTCCTGGATTTACATTAATTTCTAGCTATTCCTACTGAAAGGCTTAAAATGCTCTTGTTTACGTAGATGACCTTCCAATCTGTAGGAAAAAAATAAATTCCTAGAATTCTGGTGAGATGGCAATGATGGACATTTTCCAGAGCCAGTTCTCACTTGATAAAAATGTGAGATTCCTGACTTGTGAGTAATTAGGGTATTCAGAAAGCTGTTTTCATTCCAATTTGGAGCAAGAGCCAATTTTTCAGATATTGCACACAAACTGGAAATTTCACAAGTGTTTCTTTCAAAAAAATTGATGCGTAGTGTAATAGCTACATTTTTCCTATTTTTAGGCATCTAACATCTTAGATATATCAGGCTTTTTTAATAATTAGTGGGAAGAAATAAGCATTTGACATGTTAGATAAATCATACTATAGATGAGAAATGTACATTACAATGAGAGAATAATATGTTATTAAAGCATGTTTCCTTCCCATGATTACAATGTCTGGACAACTAGCTCAGATCTAGGTGCCTGAATAATTGCCTATGGTTTGGAGGAGGTGAGTCCAGCTACCAGCAGTGTTCTGTAGTTCCACAGAATAGTAACAAAACTGAGGAAAACGTCAAGCTGCTGGAGCTTCTGAGACATTAAACTGGTTAGCCTGGGAGCCCTCTGACCAAGAACTGCAGAGGGGTTGGGGTTCCTAAGAAACCTATGTTCCTGTGTCCGTCTGTTGATGAACCTCGTAGAGTGTAATTTCACCCCCTGCCTTTATGACTATGTAGTATCTAGTTTAACCAGCTTCAGAGTTTGGGAGTTGCAATCCACTGGTTATGGACAACAAGGCTCCACACATAACCCTTATGGACCATGGGGGAGATTTTGCAGGAAAAATAACGGGACCAGAGATGTTTTCAAATTTTATGAACCATCCTTTTTCTATGGATTCCTGTTTCTGCTAGCAGTTTATTTTCCATCTCCAAACATCAGAAGGTGAAATCTATTGATCGAGAACCACTTTTCCCCCTGACTTTTTAGACTTTTTTCAGAGCCAGTGGTGGATTATGGGGACCTTCAAAATGTCAGACAACTAGTCTGTGATGTTTATATTTATATAAGATTTCTATTAACCTTGCAGGAAGAGTCACAAGACTCATAATTACACTACAGTCTTTTAATTAAAGTAATACCAAGTATAATCTTTTATATCTTTCATTAATACAACAATATTTAGAACTTTTGGTTGT